AAAAAAAAAAAAAAAAAAAAAAAAAAAAAAGGACGCTAAGGACTGTGCTAAAATGTGTTAGGCATATAATCAAATTAGTAATGTTGATTTAATTCAAAGGGGCACTTTTAAAAATGTTATCATGGGATTCTTAGATAACTTACTATGGCCCTTCTTATGGCATTTTTTATGCCCTCCTCCCTTTTAGGTAACTTTTTTTCCCGTTCTCAGGCATATAACGCGTCACAGTTCGACAAGCACATATAAATTGATATTCTCACAAATCGTGCGACCACATATATTCATACAACAGCTGCCAAACCCACTCGACAAAACTGTTAAGTATTAAACTGTAAACCTCTCCCCAGTGTTCGTTAAAATGAGCACAAAAAAAAAAAAAAAGAAAAAAAAGAAAAAAAGAACGGGGGAGAAAGGAATTACACACACAAAGGAGTTTTAACTACGAAATAAAAACGTCTTTTAAAAAGGCATCACAATGTCAACACGTCGAAATGTGGCACGTGTGAACATTCCAAGGGGTACTTGCATCAGGACCATAATTTATACACAAAGAACAGGTCTAATTATTACTCAATCAGGGGCATGAAAAATGGCCGTATAAAATAAAATTGAACAGGACAGCAAAAGTGCATATAATTGTGTACGTAAGTATAACCTACTACGTTTGCTCTATTTTTTCTCGCATTCGCTAGGCATACTTTGTTGCTATTGCTCCGACGCCAAGCCAATCACATTGTTCAATAATGATGAGAGGGCCTAGGGCCGCGCGGAACAGGGGTACATATGTTATGCGTACATTCGCGTGTATGCATATACAATCACGATAGGGCATATTCTCACAAATGCTCTTTTACGATCGTATATTTCGCGTTGCATACATATATATGGCGAACACAATTTTGCGGTAATGGGGCTAATGCAAAATTAACAAAAACGAACGGCTTCGAACACGAACGGCTTCGAACACGAACAGCTTCGAACACGAACAGCTTCGAACACGAACAGCTTCGAACAC